TGGCCTTAAAGACCCCCAGGGATGGGGCCTCAACCCCCTCCCTGGGCAACCCATCCCAGGGTCTCACCACTCTCATGGGGAAGAACTTCTTCCTCACATCCAGCCTGGATCTGCCCACTGCCAGCTTTGCCCCATTCCCTCTAGTTCTGTTGTTACCCAAGAGCCTAAAAAGTCCCAGGCTGGCTGCTGGTTCCTGCTGCTCCAGCTCCCCTGGGGCCCTGCAGAGCCCTGGCCAAACCTGCTGGTGGGGCCCAGGGGTGACCTGACAGCCCCGGGGTGTGATGGAGACAGGCTGCCAGGGTCAATGCCACCCCTGGGGACACAGAAGGTGGTTGAGGTGGTGGCCAGCCCACAGAGCCCTGCCCCAGCTACGTGTCCAGGAGGAGAAGGACCCTGGGAAGCTCCAGAGGGGCCACAAAAGCAGCACTGCTTTCCAGCATGTGCCTTGGGGAGGTCCAGAGCTGAGCCCCAACCTGAGTAAATCCATCCCCAGAGCATTTGGGTCCCCTCTGGGGTGGTGCTGAGAGAGAAGAGGCCACGTCCCCATCATTCAGTAATCACTGCAGAAAAATACCTGGTTCAGTTCAGCGTGTGAGGAGAACCCTGGGTGCAGGGACAGCCCCACAGCACTGAGCTGGGGAGGGCTGAGACCACCCCGAGAGCAAAGGGGAACCCAGGCAGTGTGGCAGGGAAGGGGATGAAATGCTGGAGGGGAAAAGAAAAGCAGCTCTGCAAGAGCTGATACCAAAAAGGCCAAGTGTGGCCAGGATAGAGACCACACTGCTGCCCAAAAGAAATCCAAAGGGAAAGGGGACAGCAAGAAAAGTCAAACTGATGGAGAAGTGACACATCCTGAAGGGAAGAAGTGAGTATTTCTGGTGAGCATGTGCCAGCAATTGTTTAAAACGTGTAAAATCTGTGTAAGCTTTTCAAGACCTTGCTCAGACTTGAGTGTGACTCTGCCAGCTCTATTTCTTATTTATTTCTAAATCTGGGCAGGCTGATAAAAGTGGGATTTGCAGCCACAGACACAGCACTGAGGGATGCGTGTGGTTTCTACCTGAACTTTCTCAAAACCCTCTAAGCTAGGGAAAACTGCTCTGATGTCCTCACAGGGGGATCAAGGGGCAATCTCCTCAATGGGATGGAGAGATGCTGCTTCAGAGGATGATGTCTTACCTGGAGGTGATCAGGGGCAGGATCAGCATTTTCAGCATCCTCATGAGGAGCTCTCCAGGGAAGGAGAAGTACTGCTTCTCCTGCACAGAGAGCAGAGCCACTGTGTCATTGGGAGCCAAGAACTGGACGCTGAGTGCAGGTTAAGGGCTCAAACCTGATAAATTTGCCTTTTTCCCAACCAGCCCCAGCTCTGAGCTGGGTTCCCAGCCAGCAGCCGTGGCTGGGGCACTCAGAGGTGCTGTTCCTCTGGCTGCCCTGTGCCAGGAGCTGGGCCAGGGAACACTGGCCAGGTGGGAAACCTGGCTGTGAACTGGAGAGGGGCATGTGGGGCTGGTCTCCTCCCAAAAACACCCTTGGGTCCCCATGGCCTCACCGTGGCTCCTCCCAAAGGTCACCCCACTGGGGAGCAGGGGGAGCTGCACCTGCAGAGGTGCCTCGAAGCTCTGGGTGCAGCCTGGTGCCAGCAACAGAGGGGGGAGATGTCTTGTGGCTGCAGATGCCAGAGCCAAGCTCAGGGCAGCCCCAGGGGTCTGGCTCATCTGTGGGACAGCCCCAAGGTGCACCAAGGAGGGTTTGCACCCCATGCCATCTGTCCTTCCACAGCCACGGGCTGCCTGGAGAGACACCCTCAGAGAGCCTGGATCCCACAGCCATGGCCAAGGGAAGAGTGGGGGCTCTGTGGGACCAGCACCCCCCCATCCACCCTCCCTCCTTCCTCCCTCCCTCCCTCCCCATCTCTTCCTCCCTGCCTCCACCCACCATGCATCCCCCATCCCTCCACCAGCTCTCTATCAGCTTTTCTCAGCTTCGTGACACTTTCCCACCACAGGGAGGGAACCAGGGACCAGCTGCTGTCCCAGCCCCTCAGCTCTGGGCTGGATTTTGGGTCAAAGGTCTTTAACAGGGAGAGCTGGCTGCCAGGGACCACGTGTGGTGCTGTGTCAGGCCTGGAGCAGGGCAGAGGATGGAGGAGCTCAGCACCCAGCAGGATGAGGAGCAGGGTCCCAGGGGCTGTGCTGGGCGTGTGCAGGGATCACCCCCGGCCCCAGCTGAGGAAGGGGATCACCCAGCTGCTCTAAACCCTCGTGGGTGACAGGGGGATGTTCCAGCCCCCTCCAAGCCCTCCCTGCAGCAGCATCCCCCCTCCTGGGCTCTGCCAGCCTGGCCAAAGATCAGGGCTGAGCCACAAAGGGGCCCGATGGGGTTAGAGCCACCTGGATTTTAGCAGGGTGACGTTCAACAGCACAGTGCTCCTAGAAAGCACCGAGGGAACACACCTTTTAGGTGCACTCTCTCCAAAGCATTCATCTCCAAGGGTCCACAGAGGAAGGAGACCCCTAGAGGCCCCCCCAGACTCTCCACCAGCCCCATGTTGAGTTGCTTGGTCTTCCCTAGAGAGTGGAGCCGTGCTTTGATTGAGCATCCCTGCAGCCTATGCACAGAGTAGCAGGAGGATCTGGTCCCTCAGACCCCAGCACTGCTCTTTGTGTTGGGGGGAGCCCATTATTGAGCATCTAGCAGCTCAGCATCCATCGCCCTCTCTCCCATCCCCATCCTGCCTGGAGTCTGCAGCCCCACAGGGTCTGTCCTGGAGCCCCCCAGTGCAGGGAGGCAGGATTTGTCCTGCAGCTTTGGCATTTGTTGGGAGCTTTTTGGTCAGAAAAAAAAAAAAAAAAAGAAAAGCCATGAGGGGAAACCTCCCCTGAGAAGTGGTTTTCCTGAGCAGGACCCTTTTCCTTCTAGGGCTGTGCCCGTCCAGGGCCCTTGATGGTGATGTCTGCACAGGGGCTGGTCACCCTGACAGCCC